GGCATCTTCCTAGGAGGCTCCTTGGAATCCACTGTGCCTGCGCACAAAGTCCCAGGCTCACGGGCCTCCCCCCGAGGCCTCCTGCCTCAGATCTGCAGTCCACCTTCAGGAAGCAGAGCAGGCTGGAGGACAGCAGGGCGCCTCAGACAGGGCCTTGGCTTTCCTGGGCCCCCTCTCCTGCCACATATCAGCAATTCAGCACATGCTTCAGCACCTGGAGATCCTTCAGYTCTTCATCCTGGACGCTGCCCCTGAGACTCCACACAGCACGCCTGGGGTTCACCCTGGCTGGTTTTGCCTGGCTTGCTCAGCGCTCTCCACAAGCGCTTGGTCCCCCATTGGAAGATCATTCTGCATCCTTCCTGTTCCTGAACAAGTGACATCAGCTCTGTGAGGCTCATCCCCATGAGAACTCAGTTCAGAGTTCTGATGAATGTGTGTGCCACATAGCCCTCCATCAGCATGGCCAACAGCTCTGTCCTCCTGGGCAGGCCAACCTCAGCCCTCTCCCTGCCCAGCAACACTGAAGGCACTTCTAAAATACTCGACCTGCTTTGCCTCTTTGGGGTTCCAGGCAAAGGGATCTGCAGCCAGGCTCTTGTTTGTGCTCTCTCTTCCTGTTGTGGTGACAGTGTGAGTGGCCTGAATCCTGCCCCTCAGTGGAAACCGTGTGATCACGCAGGATTCCTGACAGCGAGCAGTTCCTTGTGTGGACACACCGTGGTGTATTGACAACTGTCCTTGATGGCGACCTAATGCTGGGTTCACAAAATCTGACTATTCCAATGACTCAAGAAAACAACAAAGAAAGCACACAACCACACAGAATTACCTTTTCATAATCCAGAGATGGCTTTGTGACCTTAAGGGTCCTTGGAAAGAGGGASAGCTACCAGAATTTTTATTCTTATAGAGGGAACACACAAAGGGAAGTGAGTGAGGCAGCCAGTGAGTGAGGCAGAGGTGGAGTCTGAGGTGGCAGTGGCCCGTGGGGAGCTGCACCCTAAACCTGCTGCCACAAAGAGCCTCCACCAGGAGTTGGTGGCAAAGTCTGCAACGACCTGTGAGGACTCAGGCCACGTTCTCTGAACTGAAGGGTGAGTGTAGCTCAATTCCTCTGGGTGCTGCATACTCTTAGGGCCACACCTTGTTATCCAAGTGAGGGAAGAGCCCAAGTCACGAGTCATGGCACTGCCACCAAAGACTAGAGTGATCTTTCAGGTGCCAGTGTGCATCAGGTCTTCAAGGTGCATGCGTTTGGAGGGGCTCCCTACAGCGGTGCTGAGTAGTTGGACCTGAACGTCCTGAGGTTACATAAAACCTGGCAGACACCAAAGAAACACTCATTTGCTCCCCCTTTAGAACAGAGTGGGACAGGAACCACTGGTGACCAGGAAGGACCTGGCAAGGACAGTCAGTGGTGGTCCTCCATGGCACAGCAGGGTACTGATGCTGGAATAACCCCCAGGTCTGATACCCACTAAGGGAGTTTCCAGCACAGGGCAAGGAGAGATGGGGAGCTTCGGACCATGGTGTCCACACTGCACACTGACACACCTCCCAAAAGTGCCCAGAGATGTGTCGATATTAAAAACCACGCAGGCACTGTGGACATTTGCATGGCGTCCAGTTTTGAACAACTTCTGGGAAGTTTCAGTGAATGTATTCAGATGGCCTCTTGTGGACACTGGTAAATTTTGGACACCTGGGCAGCACTAGATGTGGAACTCTGTCCCCAGCAAGTGATGTAACCTATTTCCCTTGGACATCTGATCAGAGTGCTTTGCCCCGCTCTAGAGCTACAGTCTCCTGCCCACATCTGCCTCACTTGCCACGTCCCCTAGGGCCTTTCCCCTTATTGACCCTCACTGAGGAGTCGTGACTTTCCTTCACAGATCAGGAAAGGAGAGTTCTGTCACATGGAGATGGGGAGATGACTCCAGGTGTCCCTGCAGGGAAAGCTTCCCCCACATCCAGGTCCTGCCTCCCTTTCCTCAAAGCTTCTTTGGAAGAGCCGCCATTTGGTACTTGAGGCCAGTTCACCTTTGGTCTTCTCTTGTGATCAGCAGCATTGTGCCTTCGAGAGCCTGTGCCCTGTCAGGGGACGGGGACTTTCTCCTCCCTTCTCCGGGTGCTTCCTGCACTGCACCAGCTCCACCCCGAGTCCTAGCCCACCTGGAAGCTTCTGTCTGAAGCAGAACTCAGACATGGTGAGAGGCAGGCTCCGGGGTCCCTGTGGGGGGGTCTAGGAGAGGTGCAATTCCGAGGCCCTGCTGGCCTCAGGCAGTGAGCACACTCAGGAGCCAGGCACTTCTGCTCCCCTTCCCCACGGTCCCTGAAACCTGCCCCAGGCCCACTACTGGGCCTCCTGGCCCTGCAGATGTGCTTGCATCTCCAAGATTTCATGAAACGGAAACATCCAGGGTGCAGTCTTCCTTTGGGTGGGGTTCTGTGTGGTGTCCCTGGACACAGTCACCTCTTATTGCACACCACTGTGGCAAATAGCAGAGTTCAGGCCTCTTTGTGGACAAGAGAAGCTACAGTGTAAGAAAGATCAGCAGGCGGTCATCTGTGCCCCTGCTAGAGGGCAACAGGCTGCTGCCAGTGGGGCCATTGTCTGTACTGCTGCTAGGAACATGTGGCACAATGTCTGCAGGCAAGGTGCACTCACTCCTCCTGTGCAGAGGGCAGGAGAGGAAGGAGGAAGTGCTGCTGGGCACCTGGAGAAGGACTGCAGGCGTGGGCACTGTGAGGACTCCATGGGCCTGTGGGACCAGGGGGAGAAGGTCATGTTTGGGATCGCCAGTGTTCTCCAAGGTTCACATGAGAAGGTGTGGGCCCCAAGGCAGCCATGTCCAGAGATGACGCCTTGGGAAGTGATTGGTCCAGGAGGGCTCTGACCTCATCAGTTGTAATAATTTGGAAGGACTGCTTGGAGGTGCTTCCTATAGCCATGCCTGGTTCCTCTAGCCATGCCCAGCTGCCTAGAGTCACCACSCAACGGTTCATTCAAATTGATCCAACAGGGGATGGATCAATCAATGAGGGTACAGCACTCACAGTGGACTTGCCTCTGAACATTCCCGCATTGCAGACACATGGGCCATGCAAACCATAACAGCATCTGACTTCTCTGACACGATGTCCTCAAAGCCACCAGGACGCCTAAGAATCTATTAGAATTCAAAAATACATTCATGAAAATTGTAGGATACAAAATCCACATATAAAAGTCAGTGGTATTTCTGTACACCAGGAGAAAATTTTATGAAAAAAGAATTCAGGATGCGAAAGTATTTCTATAGAAAAAAGAAAACACTAGATACTAATTTGGATGTCCCTGGCCCCTGTGGTTCCTCAATTCCAACTACCCTGTGGCCACAGCTCTGCCCCTGATCCTTCAGCCAACAGGACTTGGGCTTGCCAACTACTTCCAACCTCCTACAGCTGCCCAAAAGTCTCCTCATGGAAAAGCTGCATGATGACTCAAATTGTCAAGGTTTAAGTCTTTCTCCTTCCTGTCTCCTTGTGATCATTCTCCAGACCTGAAACACGTGTGGACACTGTCGTTACCACAGTCTATGTGATGCTAGAAACAGTGCATGGCCTCCATTGTAATTTTTCTTTTCCCGAATATCCTTGAACATGTGTGCACTTTATTCTAAAGTCAGAGAAAAGCCAGGGCTGCTCACCAAGTGCCAGACTGCATGCAGGGCCTGGGGAGAGGGTGCCATCCAGCACTGCAGAGGTGGAGTCTGAGGTGGCAGTGGCCCGTGGGGAGCTGCACCCTAAACCTGCTGCCACAAAGAGCCTCCACCAGGAGTTGGTGGCAAAGTCTGCAACGACCTGTGAGGACTCAGGCCACGTTCTCTGAACTGAAGGGATCGTGTGCAAACCCCTGTGTGCAGACTGACACCAAGTTGATCATGATCTGTGTGTGGCTTGTGCACATGGGAAGACTGAGAGAGGAGAATGTGAAGGAAGGCCCCTCTGGACGCAGTCACCATGATTCTGCTCTTCCTGTGATCTCCTTCATGCCTATCCAGGTTTCCTAACTTCACTGTATGAAATGTCTCTAATGGAAAAGACTCATGGTCACTCTTCAGGGTTCTGTCCCAGAGGGAGCCCGAGAAGCCAGAGGAGCAGGACTTAGTGTGTTGGGCCACTTGAGGATGCCCTGGCTGGAGGCCCATGGTGGCTATGAACGCCCCGCAGCACAGCCCTGGGTGGCTTAGGTTTCACCCTTGAATGCCCTCCTGTGGCCCCTCTTCCCCTGGGGTCCAAGCAGCAAAGCAGGCTGATGTCGTGCACTCTCTTCCCCGTCCACTCTCCACAGGGACAGGAAGTGTTTCAGGTTGGGGAAGCAGAGAATTGTCCATTCCCTTACTAACCACACCACAGGCCGCCTCTGCCTGGCCCTCCTGAGCCTAGTCCTATGACCTACGTGGTGACATATCTTGGCTCCCTTCATCCTGTGGCAGTCAACTGATATTTATGGGTACCTGCCCTGTGCCTGGTCAGAGATAAGGACAACACAGTGTCCTTGTCAACAAAGAGATGCAGTCTGCAGGGGAGGTCAAAAGTCAACAGTGACGGAGACATGAAAGCATCATGGCCTTGGGGACAGACAAGCCACACACAGGAGATAGATCAATAGGAGGGGACAGAAAGGGCAGCATGCCTGGAACAAATGAGCGTGGAAGGACCAGAAAAGCCACCGTGGAGGGGACAAGTCAACATGAGGGCACAGATCACCGTTTGATGATTTCCTAAGTGTGTTTATAGCACAGGGCACAGGCACCCCAACGCCTGCCCCCTTGTTCAACAGTATAGCGGGTCTGGGGGGGGGGGGGGGGGGGGGGGGGGGGGGGGGGGGGGGGGGGGGGGGGGGGGGGGGGGGGTGCTGTCCCTGCTGTGGTCCTTGGGCGTGGGCCCCTGAGTGTCCCTGCCATACCTGGACCCCTGACCCCGCAGGGCTGGGAGCTGGTGGCCTGGTGGGCTCAGCAGCAGCACAGAAGTCTCCTGAGTGCAACTTTGACGTCCTTATTCCTCAGAGTGTAGATGAGTGGGTTCAGGGTGGGCGCCACAGAGGTGTAGATGATGGACACCACCTTGTCCTTGCGCAGTGAGTAGCTGGACGCGGGGCGGATGTAGGTGTAGATGACGGTGGAGTAATACAGCGTGACCACCAGCAGGTGGGAGGAGCAGGTGGAGAAGGCCTTGCGCTTGCCCGCTGCTGAGCGCATGCGCACAATGCTGGCGATGATGCAGCCATAGGAGAGCATGGTCACCGAGAAGTTGCCTATGGCCAAGAACACGTCCGCGGTGAAGGCCATGACCTCGTTCAGTCGTGTGGGGGCACAGGACAGCCTCAACAGTGGGGGAATCTCGCAGAAGAAGTGCTCAACGACGCCAGACTTGCAGAGTGGCAGGCGCAGCATGAGGCTCGTGTTCACGCTGGTGTTGGTGAGGCTGATGGCCCACACGGCCACGGCCAGCAGAGCACATGCCCGAGAGCCCATCCGTGCACCATAGTGCAATGGCTGGCAGATGGCCACGAAGCGGTCATAGGCCATGGCTGAGAAAAGCAGCAGCTCTGCCCCCATTGACCATGTGAAGAAGAAGAGCTGCGCCATGCAGCCCCCATAGGAGATGGTCCTGCCAGCCACCATGCTGCCCAGCAGCTTGGGCAGAATGGTGGAGGTGCAGAGGATGTCCACTGCGGCCAGGTTGGCCAGGAAGAAGTACATGGGGGTGTGCAGAGCTGGGCTGGTGCAGATGGCCACCACGATGAGCAGGTTTCCCGACAGGGCAGCCAAGTAGAGGCCCAGGAAGCCCAGGAAGAGTAGTGCTCGCAGGCGAGGGGGTTCCAAAAATCCCAGGATGGTGAACTCGGTCACCAGCRTCTGGTTCATCCCCAAGGGCCTGGGTGTGGAGACCTGGCAGCTRCTCCGCCCCACACCTCTGATCCCCCACTGTAAAAGAAGGAAAGGCCACTGTCCCTGCTTGTTCTGAATACTCCTCCCTTTGGTTGTGTGAGACCCACTMGAGGCAGGATTTCAGGACCCTGGGGGTATAAATGTGCCTCTGAGCCCCAGACTCTGCAGGGAGAGCCACGGAAACRACCCCTATCCTCACCCATCCCAGGGATGCACCATTTAGGACTTGGCCTCCTGCTCAGTCTGCTTGGCTCCACAGCCCACAGGCACCAAGCATGACTGGGGAGGGGTCACCCACAAACTCCCAGAGACCCGAGCTTGTGTCCTCGGGAAAATCGTCCTCAGGGGTCAGGGGGTAGGAATGAGAAGAACTGACCCAATGCTCCCGGGTCACATCCAAGCAGCACCCACCCAGGGCCRCCCAGGTCCTCACAATGACCTGTGCATTGGCAATCACGGTCACCTCACTGAACCCCTGTTGCTGAGGCTGGAGGAGCAAGCCTGTCTGCAGGCAGGACTGAGCACCCGCCAGCACCAGAGATTTTATGCTACGTTTTGTCCAGGCTGCTCAGTGAGATAAGAAAGTGAAATTTCACCTGGGATTTGAGAACTTGCCCCCTCAGAAATCACAGCCAGAGGGATCTCATGGCTGTGGTCAGTGTAGAATACAGCACCGCACCACAGGTATCAAAACATCACCATCTCTCGTCAAACACAGGATATAGAGAATCAGCATCCCCTTAGAGCAGGTACTTACGAACGTGGTAAAATATTCCTGAAATTCACCTGTCCTCTCAAGAAACTTGCTTCTCTTTACCATGAAAGAGAGTCATTAGCTTTCATTGGGAAACAGAACAGGTTCAAAATAAACACCAGCAAGGAACTGTGGGAGACATCTGCAGCTGTGTGTGGGGACAGTAAGAGACCTGTGACAAGGATCACAGGCCCTGTCTCATCTGTAATAGCCAGAGGCCAGGGCTTACAGGGATGGGCCAGGCCCTGAGGGACCAATTAGGGAGAGCCACCTCCCCACTTAGGCAGAACCAGTGCCTGAGCTCAGGACCCTCTGGGAAGCTAACCAGCACCTGGGGACAGACCCAGGCCCTCATGGGGAGCATCACTCAGGCTTACAGCACACTCCACCCAACAAGAGCAGAACGCATGTCCTATCCAAGACCCTGGGGACCTTCACCAGGGAAGGCCACACACTGGGTCTTAGCACAGGCCTCAGCAAGTTTTAAAGCCTTTAAGTCATACAAAGTATGTTTTCTGACCATGTGGAATTAAAGCCAGGGAAAGTGAGCTTTCAGGATAATGCCCACATATTTGAAACTAAATCATGTATTTCTAAATAACACATCAATAAGAATACAAAAGGGAGGTGTGTCAGCCTTGTGACGCTGATGAAAGTGAAAACAGGACTCTAAAAGTTTGTAGGATGTCAATGGGGCAGTAGCAAAGAACAGGTTTGTGGAAGTTTATCAGCTTCAAAAGAAGAAATCCAGAGGCCAGACAATCCTAAACACATAACTTCACCCCAAGGGCAAGATTGAGGGCTGTGGGCAAAGGATGGAATAATTACCACCTCATTTTTAAAATTTTTTTCACTAAGTCTAGGTGATGTTATGAAGCAACTATAAATCTCTGGCAATATTAAAATGGCATGATTGCTTTGGAAGAAAATACCTAATAAAACTAAGTATACACATGCCAACCCAGCAATGCCACCCACAATCACACCAAGAGAAACAGGGACATCGGATATCTTGTACATAATTGTGCAGAGAGGATTTATTCTTCATAGCAAAGAATTAGAGTCTATAGTAATCAACACTCAAATGGATAAAGAAATACACCGTATTCATAGAATATAATGTTAACAGAAATGAAAACCACTTACACACACACAAATCTGAGAAATATTATGCAATAAATAGGCCTTACATGAGAGAAGGTGGCCTGTGTGGCCTCATTTACAGGAACTCCCAAAGGCTCAAAACTGGCCTATGAGTTGTGGTGGAGGACAGGGGACTCAGAGAGGGCTGAATGGGGGAGCAGGATGAGTAGGAGAGCAGCGTTGGCCTGCAGGAGCAGGACGGGCAGAGGACAGGGCAGGCAGGATGACTGAGGATAGGATGAGGCAGGTGGAGCTAGGGAGCAGAGTCTACAGGTGGAAAGAGGCATGAGGGGTGAGGTACAGGGCAGGGCGAGCCAGGTGGTCGAGTCGAGGGCGAGGTATGCCGATAATGAAGTAGAGGACCAGAGATGGGATGACACTCATGAGGGCGGCCCTGGGCAGCCTGGAAACAGCAGCAGGAACCCTTCAGCCTCCCAGGTGTCATCCTTGTCTGCTGGGTGTGATTTACACTAATGTGTGCATGTGTCAAAACAGTGATGCAAGCCCTTACTTATGCAGTCCGTTGTTTGAAATTTTACCTTAAAAGTAAAAAAAGGGCCCTATCAATACATGTTGAACTCTAATGGTATGCACACAGAAATACTTAAAAGTGTCTTGATGTCTGTCATGGTGGTGCACACCTGTRAACCCAGTGACTCGCCACATGAGGCAGGAGGATCCCAAGTTGGAGGCCAGCCTCAGCAACATAGCAAGACTCCATCTCAAAATGAAAAATAAAAGGACTGGGATATATTTCAGTGGTAGATTACTCCTGGGTTGCATCACCAGTAACCCCGCACAAAATGTACTGATGTTTGAAGCTTGCTTTGAAATGCACAAAAACAGATAACTTGGCATGGGAGTAAATAAAGTTTACAAACGTAGCAAGGAATCACAGGTAGAAAAGGTGGGTGATGGGTGCTCGAGTGTCCACTCCAGGGTTCTGCCAACTCTGCTGTGCTTGAAACCTTTTGTAAATGTTGCGACAGTTATAAAGAAACATACCTCAAGAATGGCAAGGGGTGCCAGTGGAAGGGTTGGGAGGCAGGGCTAGGGCAAGGTCCACAGCTTTGAGGATGGGTGGCACAGAKCATGCAGGAAAGAAGTCAAGCAGTGTCAGTAACTGGCTGTCACAACTAGACAGGGCTGAAGGCGGACATGGGGCCTGATACCCGCCATGTGAGCGGGGCGTTAGCAGGGCAGCTGCAGAGCCAGGTGGGGTTCAGAGGAGAGGCACAGAGGTGTCGGCACTTTGGCTGTCACTGGCAAACAGTGACCATGAAGGCAGGGAGTGTCACAGCCTAGAAGACAGTGCCAGGAGGAGGCGAGAAGGAGAGGGCATCTCAGGCAAGCCAAGAACAGTAGCATTCAAGTTACTGTCCAGGGGTGTGGATTTGTTGACTCTGTTCAGCAAAGAATGCAAGAACAGGACCCAGAGGCAGCAAGCAAGCGCAGGTTCATTGAAAAAGCGACAGGGATGGACTTCTCTGAAGAGAAGTGCCCAGAGCTGGGAGTCCATGGCGGAGTTTGGCCTGTTCTTACGGTCTCTGGAATTTCCTCCTCTCCTCATCTCCCTCCCGGTCCACGTTCTCCCCACTACTGTTGACTTGTGCCCCCTCTGTCCCTGTGTCGCTGGGTTTTTTCTATGGGTCCCCTGCTTGGGGGCACAAGTATAGTAGTCTCTGTGATTGGGTCCCGCACTTGTGTCCCTAGCACTTTTACCAGCAGGAAATTGCTCTTTGCTCTGGCCCTGCCCCCAGCCTCCTCAGGCACCATCTGTCCTGACTGCCTGAGCCCTTCCGTGTCCCTCCCTCAGAGGCCAGATGCAGAGGGCAAGATGGAAGGAGGAGGGAAGGAAACCCAGAAGCAACGCTGTGGGAGCCACAAGCACTCCGCCCCAGCGGCGGATGTCCTGGCTGCAGGGTGTTCCTGTCCCAGAAAAGAGCAGTGAGTACAACCTCTTCAGAGCACTGGTGTGGGAGGCCAGACTGCAGTTCTGCCACCTCACAGTCCCAGTGAGGAGCAGGGTTCCCCAGTCCCCTGCAAGATCACACCAAGAGCAGGGAGCTGGATACCAGGTCTGGTGGCTTTCCAAAGCAGGATATCAAGACCAGCCGTCAGAGACACTGCACCAGGCTGTGGACAGGGTGGGTAAGTCTGGTCCACGGCAATCCCTTGAGCCTGAACCCTGAAGGAGGACACGGCCAGCAGCACCCCACACAGAGGAGCTCCAGGGGCTTCCAACTGGACAGCAGCCCAACCAGGGTGGGAGAAGGAGAAGCAGTGGCCTGCTCTCCCCGTTCTCCCAGCTCTCCTGACTCTCCCTGTTGTAAACCCCGAGGGCCTCCACCCTCAGGCTTCAGATGTCTGCACGTCACACTGAAGGCAGCGGCCCTCTGGGAGTCCCATTATTATAGATCTACTGCATGAATCATTTTCTCACTCCTTGCCACGGCATCAGATTCTCAGTCAGACATTGGGATTAGCTGGAACAGTTCACTTGCCTTCCCTCATCTACTAGGTGCAGGCAAACACCCTCCCCAGGGCCATGTTGACATCCTTGTTTCTCAGGGAGTAGATGAGAGGGTTCGGGGTGGGCTGACCACTGTGTACAGCAGAGCAACCACCTTGCCATTTCCTGAGGAGGAGCCAGAACCTGGGAGGATGTAGGTGTAGATGACGGTGGAGTAGTACAGCGTGACCACTAGCAGGTGGGAGGAGCAGGTGGAGAAGGCTTTGCGTTTGCCAGCGGCTGAACGCATGCGCACAATGCTGGCGATGATGCAGCCATAGGAGAGCATGGTGAGCAAGAAGTTGACCACGCCGAAGTAGACATCTGCGATGACAATCATGACATTGTTCAGCATAGTTGGACTGCAGGACAGTAGCAGCAGCGTGGGGACTTCACATAGAAAGTGGCGGATCTGATTGGGACCACAGAAATAGAGTCGTGCCATCAGGCCTGTGTGTACAGATGTGCTCACCACGCTGACCACCCACACACCGCCTGCCAGCAGGATGCAGATGGGCCAGCTCATCAGCGCTTGGTAGTGCAGTGGCTGGCAGATGGCCACATAGC